TAAAAGTAGTTTCTACACATTTCAAAGAAGTAAATAACAATATTATAGTACTGAGCTCTAAGAAAAATATTTCTAGGAGCTATAGTTTTGTGTGAGGTTTTTTGTCCTTTTGCATGACTTAAACAATGCAGTCAGTGATACTCCTTTAGGAAATGTAAACCTCTTTATTACTAAAAAGTATGTTTAAATAGTTTAGAAAATTTTTGGGTCATACTTTTCTATAAACACCTCAGCCTTAAATAACATGAAAATATTAAGAACAAAATTAAAAAATTATTGGTGTAGACTTAGATGTAATAATGTGTGCTGGTTATAGAACTCACTATTATGACTTCAGATAAATTAAAAATTATCTTATTATAATTTTAAAAGCTTGATGCATTATCATCTTAGCATAAGGAAGATAAGGTTTCACATAGCTGGAATTTAAAAATTTTTGTTAAAAACTGAAACCAAACGGATAAAAAGTTATTGACTTCTGAGGACTTATCAACTTATATTTAAAAAGTAAAATTATGGGGCCGGGGATTTAGCTCAGTGGTTTCTCCACCTGCTGCGCAAGCACAAGGACCGAGTTTGATCCCCAGTACCCCCCCCAAAAAAAGTAAAATTATGTGGCTTCTAATTCATATAGTTAAACATACTTTTTTATTTATTGTGCAATAAAGAAGTGCACAGAGATTTATATAAGAGTTGAAACTTTCATACATTCACTTTAAGACTAAGAAGAAAAGTTACAATATACTAAGAAGAAGAAGAATTTTTTGATATTAAGAAATGTTAAATACTTCTCCCAAGCAGCACTAAACACTTAGTGGCTGATAATGTTTTAAACTTAATTTATGTTGAATTATTTTTAATACATAAGAAGACAAAAATATTAAATGACCATGCACTCATGTTACTCCAAGGTAGAAATTACTCCACTATCTTATGAAAACCTTTAAGAAGGAAGGCAAATCGATAAAACACTCCTGGAGACACTAAGAAAGAGACATCTCTTTTCTACATGCCCACCATAACCCCTGTAAATAGAGATTATATATATTTATGGAAACTAGTACATGGAACTACTCAAGTGATGCCTTCATAGCATAAAAATTGCAGTAAAATGTCTCTAAAATTGGGATAAAAGAAATTGATCCCACAATGTGTTTTTGTTGCTGAAATCATTAATATATTAGAGTAAGAAATTTGAAAGATCATGATCTTGAGAATTCATAAGTGACTCTCCATAGTCCAAAATGGCTTGTGTTACAGAGGTGAGAATAAAGACAAACAGTGGATAATGTTTCTATTATGAAAGCTAGACTTATACCTTTTCATTTTGAAATATTGAATTTATTGTTTGTACTATTCTTTAGTCTTTTACACTTCAATTTCATTTTTATATGTTTGGATTGGCTTTAGGCATTTACCATGTACTTAATTCCTTTTTATTGAAATTGACTTATTTCAAAACAATTTCATCTTCCTAGCATAAAGGCTCTAAAGTCAACTCTAACATGAATTTCACAAAATTGACCTGCAAAACACTAATATATTCCTTTTAAAATGTATTTTAATAAATCTTATTTTGATGACTTATTACATTTTATTCTATGATAGCATTTTAAAATGACTTGTAGTAGTGCTACAAGAATGTGAAAACACGGATCTTCAAATCGGAAATCCTATCAGTGAGAAGTCCCCAGCTTCCCCTCTTCATCTCAAGGTGGCCTGTACGTAAAACACCTGTTGAAAAGTCACTTTAAGACTTAACAATTAATTCTTGATAAGTCATAATTAGCAGTTATTCTTCATAATTAATAATAATATCTACTTCACTTTAGATTTCATATTAACACATGAAACAACTCACATGAAAATTACTCCCATGGGAAAGTTTTCTAAAAATTGTAAAACTATCTGTCTCCCTTGCCTATTACTAAATCTATGTTCCTGTCCTTCAAAATCAACTTTATAGCTTTAACATGAAAAAATATTTCATTATAATTATGGTATATTATAATTTGCACTATTGTGGATATTTTTTCACAATCTATTATACAACCACTACATAGACCAACTTTAATTTGAGGAACTTGATAAAACTCTAAAATAAAATTTCATCTCACAAATTTGTTTCTATACCAGATTACATGCTTATTTTGTATTCATAATCTATAAAAATGCTCTTGTGCCCAAGAAGAACCTTCAGACATTAACCTTAACATGTTAGAAGTACATAAAATGATTTGATGCTTAAATATTGCTTTGCATTGTAACGTGAGCCCGATAAATCATAAAGTCTCAAATTTCACATCACCACATTGTATCAGACTATTGCAACATAATTATGAAATTCTTTTCAATCCATTGATGGAATTATACTGTGAACTTTCTAAACACTATAAATGCTGAAAAATAAAGATGAACAAGACATGGCAGCTGTTATTTCAAGTAGATTTAGTGGATTAAATGACTACTTTCAGAAATACGCATGAGATTAGTAATGTGCTTCCTTTTCAGGCTCTATTATATACACACACTAATGAAAGCATTTTGAACAAGATTATGGGATGCTTGCACGCTTTAATATAAGCATGTCACTTCAATACAATGTATTTGTGGCACATCAGTTAAAAAAAACAGTAATTTTTAAATTTACCATATTCTCTATGGTAAGTATCAAGATAAACCTGATATATTTAAAGGGAAATTAACATATCCTTCATTTACAAACACTTCTTACAGGACTGAAAAAATTAGTAGGAAAAAAGCACTTATTTTAATAGTTTCTGTTGATAATATTTCCAGGTCTGAACCAATATAAGAAATTGAGATACTTTGAAAAAAAAATTTAGACCTGAAATTAAAACTCATTTTGTGTTTTTGTAGTATGGATTCAGATTCTAGGGATAAAAGAAGGGGAGCAGTTTCGCTTTTGCTTTCCATTTAAATTGTGCATGTCTGTGTTTGTGTCTGTGCAATTTGCTGTGGCTTAAGTTTTACTGCTAATGAAAATAACCAGTAGCAGTGGGAGCAGCATCCTTAAGCAATGACCAGCACGTTGGAAATAAGTAGAGGCCTCATTGTCTCTCAAAACCTTCTGGACGTTTCAATCCAAGACTGTTCTTCACTAGTCTGACCAAGACATGAGAACTGCTGAGAATTCTACTGCACCAATTCCATGTACTGGAAACTGAATGAAAATTCAACTGACACACCTGAAGTCAAGAGTTAAGAATTAACTTTTTGTGACATATTCGTACTACTAATCCAATAAATACAAAACTTAAACAAGTTATGTGTATTTATAAAATGACTGTAGTAGATTTGCAAATAAACACACTTTAGGGCAGGGGGTATAGTCAGTGGTTGTGTGCTCCACTGAGATGCATGGGGCCCTTGGTCCAATCCCTAGCATTACACCCCCAAAATAATATAAGTTAGCACATCTCACTCTGTGGAGATATCGATGATCATAAATGTCAAAATTTACATAGTCACAGAAAGACCTTCATAGAAACTACATTTTTTAAAGTTGAAAATTTCTTTTTTAGTTTTATATAAACCTCAAATAGCATGACTATTTGTATACACTAAATATTATAAAATTGGTAATTACTATTATTATTGATACTTTAGTATTGAGTAGAGTCACATGTAAGGATCTATTTTACAAGGACATTATCCCATTTTAAGAAAATATATTAAGTATTAATATGTAGAACCCTTGTTATGCTAGAAAGCATAAGAGCAAGAAATTTTACTACTCTGTTTTAACAGTAAACCATTACTGAGTCAAGTCTCATTAAAAGTTATTTGCTTTTCAAAGCATAATAATATGAATTCTTTTTTTATTTACCTGATACAAATCTGCCTCCCAAAGTGTCATTTTTAGTTAAGCTCAATTTTGAACTTCAAGCACTGCTTATCCAGAGTAATTTGTAACAACCTAAATTCACAATAAGCAAGAATTAAATTTTTCTGTGACACAAGTGTGGATAAGAAACTAGACTGTGACTAAACACAGTACAGTCAATAGTTAACCTTTCTAAGAGTTGATGCCCATGCTTTGTCAATCATATAGCTTTTATCATATAGTAATAGCTTTAGATTATACTTTAAAGTATATGTTAACTATCACTCAGGATGTATTGGAAACACACATTATGCAAAGTACATGCAGCTTGGAATCAGGTGCAACTTGTGTCCTATTTTTAAAAGCACAAAATAATCCTGTGACTTTCTACTATATACCTTTAATTCTTCAGTGACTCCAGCAAACTAAAAATTAGAGAAAGCACAGGTCTAAACAAATAGCAACTTTTATAAATCTGCTGGTCACTATCCCTAGCCTGAATTTATTCCAACTTTTGAGAGCACTTTAGATTATAACTCTTATTTCAAGAACTTAAATTACACCAGTGCACTATGCTGCAGTTTCAGCTGTAGAACTAATGAGATTTGTGTCTCTTAAAACACTTTTTAATATAAAACTGACTTTTGGGGTAGTGACTACTTAGTTTAAATTTATTTAAATTCCAGAATTCTGCCTGGGTGCAAGGCTATACTTTAAGAACTTCATATTTGGATATACAGTTCTTTCATTATTGTATCAAAAAATTTAAAATGGAATTAGTCTTTTTAAGAGAATGAAGTTTTTTTTCTAATCTGGAAACACTTTTATGTAATGAAATGTGGACCAACAAATAAAATAACATAAAGTCTGAATACTGAGCACTGCTAACATTCTAAAACCTATCAAAATAAACTTTTAATAATGTAACTGAAGTAAGACATTTACACCTTGTAGATCTCAGGCTGTTTATGTGGGCGGGGTTATGTGTAGCAGCTGATACTCGTCCAGTATCAAAGTGTAACGCATTTTCATTTTAAAACTTTCTCTTTCACTGTTGCTGACAGCGTGGCTTATCCTGTTCCAAAGATTTCAGGACAGCTCCCAAACCAGCAATAAAGTGAATTCAGTCCCAATTATGCTAAAAGTCTCCTACCTGAATTATGGACATCCGAGTGGCAGGGGTCTCGCTCGAATTAGTCCCTTGTCCCGTGAAGCTGGTGTGGCAGCCTGCGTGCCCCTGGGGAACAGTGAGGTTGTTGGAGGCCGGTTTGAGATACATCACCTCTGACCGGGGCGAGCTGAGGGGCAGGCGGGTTTGGTAGTCGAAGTACATAGGGGAGGTGGCCAGGGAGGGACTGCTCACCACGTTCATGACGTTCATGGCGTTCCTCTCTTCTACCTCGCTCTGCACCAGCATGATATCGTTTTTGTTGATTTTCTTCTTCTTGCCTTTGCCCCCGCCCAGCTGCGGGTGACTGTATTCAGCGATGCGGCAGTTGTAAGTGCGGATCTCCTTGTTCTCGCGCTTGCACTTGACAGCGATGGTGATCATGGCCGCTAGGAGGATGATGGAGATAGTACTGAGAGTCACGATGAGTGGCAGGGACACGTCCCAGTGGTGCTGCTCGCCGTTCACCCGGGGCACTCCCTCGGGCAGGGAGCCGCTCACCGACCTAATGATGAGTTTGGCAACCGCGGAGAGAGTGGGCTTGCCGTGGTCTGTCACCTTCACCACCAGCTCCACGACGGGCGTCACGTCCTCCCAGAAGGGGTGCAGCGTGCGGATCTCCCCGCTGGATGGATCGATCTCAAACAAGTGATCGTCGTTGCCGTCCACGATCTCGTATGTGAGGCGGCCGCTCTCTCCGAAGTCACTGTCGAGGGCGCGCACGGTGCTCACCAGGTAGCCCAGGCCAGCGTTGCGCGGGACCTGTAGCTCGGCGGTGTCGTTCTGCAGCGTGGGCAGCACGATCACCGGCGCGTTGTCGTTCACGTCTAACACCGTCACCCTCACCGTGGCGTTGCTCTCCAAGTGCGCGGGCGCCCCCGAGTCCTTAGCAAGCACCTTGAACTCAAACGCCTTGGTCTGCTCGTAGTTGAAGGAGCGCAGGGCGTATATGGCCCCGTTGGTGGGGTTCACAGACACATAGGTGTAGATGGAGACGTCACCGATGTGCGAGGGTAAGATGGAGTAGGACACAGTCCCGTTCTGACCGAGATCAGGATCCTGGGCAAGCACGGAACCCAGGTATTCTCCTGGAATGTTGTTCTCATGCACTTGCAGCACGTACAGCCCTTTGGTGAAACGGGGAGGGTTGTCGTTCTCGTCCAGAATCTTGACTGCGAACGACTTGGTGGAGTTGAGCGGAGGCGAGCCCCCGTCCCGCGCCACGATGGTCACATTGTACTCGTCCTGAGTCTCGCGGTCCAGCGGGCGGTCAGTCACTACTGTGTAGAAGTTGTCGTAGTTCTCTTCCAGTTTGAAGGGGATGGAGCCCCCTGGCCCCCCCAGGCCGCCGCCGCCGCCGCTCCCACCTCCACCCAGGACCCGACACTGCAGCTGCCCATTCTTGCCCGAGTCTCGGTCAGTGACCCGCACCAGGGCGATGACCGTGCCGGGCGGGGCGGCCTCACTGAGCGCCCCCTGGCGCACGGAGACGAAACCGATAGACGGCGCGTTGTCGTTTCGGTCGATGAGCTTGACTGTGACCTTGCAGTGGGCCGGGATCGGGTTGGGTCCAAGATCTCTGGCCTGGACATCGATCTCCAGCATACCGTTCTCCTCATAGTCGAGGTTGCCCTTGACCCGGATCAGGCCGGTCTTCGGGTCGATGGAGAAGAGCTCCCGCACGCGGTCGGGCACGTAGCTGCTGAAGGAATAGAGCACTTCGCCGTTGGGCCCCTCATCCGCGTCGGTGGCGTTCAGATCGATGACCACGGTGCCCAGCGGGGCGTTCTCGGGCAGTTCCACCAAGTAAGAGGGCGCTTCGAAGACCGGGCTGTTGTCATTGGAGTCGATCACCTTCACGTTGATCTGCACCGTGGCGGAGCGCGGCGGCTCCCCGCCATCCAGGGCGGTGAGCACGAGCGTGTGGTAGTTCTGTTGCTCGCGGTCCAGTGCCTTCTGGATGACCAGCTCGGGGAATTTGGTGCCGTCGCCGCGGGACTTGACGTCCAGGGCAAAGAGACCGTGGTCATCGCGCGTGAGCAGATAGGTGCGGAGCCCGTTCTCGCCGGCATCCGGGTCGTGTGCGCTGGTAAGGGGAAAGCGGGTGCCCGGGGCAGCGTTCTCCGAGATGTCCATTTCGATCTGGTCAGAGGGGAAGGAGGGAGCGTTGTCGTTGATGTCCTGGATCTCTACCTTGATCATGCAGATCTCCTTGTCGTTGGCGAATACCTCGAGGGACAGCTGGCACTTGGCATTGTGGCGGCACAAGGACTCACGATCGATTCGCTGCTTGGTGTAGAGGAGCCCGCTGTCGGCGTCCACGTCCAGCAGGTGCGGCGCCGAGTTCTCCAGCACCCGGTAGCTGCCCGACTTGCTTCGCCCTCCGCTGCCACCGCGCTCAGCCGGCGGAAGCCCTGCCTGCAGTCGAGCATCCTTGCCTATGTTGCCGATCACAGTCCCGGCCACTTGCTCCTCTGGCACTGAGTAGTTGAGATTTTTGAGAGTCAGGGCAGGGGCCCATAGAAGAAAGCAGCAACAGATGGAAAGGTACATCCCAGACCGGTGGAGTGGGGGCAGGAGCAGCCGGACTGGAGGGACGAGCCGGTGAGTGCGCGCCAGCCTGGGGCCCGAGCGGAGCGTGCTCTAGCTAGGCGAGCCACAAGTCCGTGGGTCCTTCCTCTCCTCCGCACCGGGGCTGCGGCACAGGCGGTCTCTGCTTATTCCGCTCAAGTTGCCTGAACCTGTTGATCTACAGCATCCGCACCGGGTGAGCGGCAGCGGCGCAGCGGAGCTGCAGCGGCTTGGAGCAAGGCGGCGGCTCCCTGCGGCTGAGGGCGAGCCCTGGGCTTTGTCTCTCCCGCCTAGACTTCAGGAGGCTCAAACTTGAGCGATGAGGCCGGCGATAAGGAGGAAATCGAGTCTGAGAGGGATGATAACGAGCTCGAGAATTGGTAGGTTTTTCTCGCTCCCGCTAGGGTGCCGCAAATCCACTCTCTCCGGCAGCCTACGGAACACTCTTCACATCGGGTGGGGGAGGGCTTGGGGAGGTGTGTCTCCAGGCAGATCGGAAAGTGAAATCCTTACTTATTACTGGTCTCCCGCGACGAAATGGATGGGAATGAGGAGCAACGGAGGGAGAGTCACAGATTAATATTTCCGAAGCTTCCCCGGCGCACTGTGAAATGTCTGCTTGCTGCGCAGGCTGGTCTGTTTTCAGGCAATGTTTTGCTGCATTTACAGATCTAATCTTGCATTGCTGGCTGAGGTAGCGGCGGCGGCGGACTGCATCTCCCAGCCAAGCGTATTTTTTTTCTTTCTCTCCTTTCCGAGCAGCCAAAGGGAGGGGAGGAAATGCAGCGCAAAGAACTAGTGTCCCGATTTGTAGTTTCCTCCCCCTAGCAGGCTCCTCCCTCTCTTCCTCCGAAAAGGCTCTCCCCCGAAATCAAGAAAGCCACAGCCTGATCAGCATTTGCTGTGTGAGTCTATTGGGAGGGGGAAATATATAGATCTATCTCCTCCTCTGATCGTAGAACACACTCTGATGTCTCTACGCTAAGCCAGTAGCCGCAGCTACCATCCCATCCTCTTCCTGCCAGCAAGGACTTCTCGCCATGCAGTTTAATTCCAGTTTGCTTTTCTTCCCAGGCGAAAGGAAATCAACAGGCAACTCATGGTTGGACGTGCAGATCTGGAGGGGGAGGGGGAGGCCGAATAAAAAGGAAGGGGGAGCCACCCTCCGAGCCCTCGCACACACTCTCCCTGTCTCTTGCTAGAAGGGAAACAGTCTCTGCATTCACAGGGCTGGGCTGTGAAGTGCCTCTCTTTTCTTTCTATTCAGCATCTCCTTCCAGTGGCCCAGCCTCCCAGTCCTCTTCTTGTAGAAAGGAAAATCTTGGCGAGGAATAAAAGTGGTGAATATTTGAAGAGGATAAAGTAAGGGAGTTTTCCTCTTCAAAAAAAAATTAATAGTAGAAGTGGGCTGGACGAGAGAAAAGCATCAAGGTTCTGCGTGGTGCATTCTGCAGTCTGTCCTACAGTCTCTGGGCGGCTAGGGGAGGCCAGGGGTGAGGAGCTGCAGTCGGTCCTGCCCGGGGCGCCAACCCCAGGAAGCTACCTCTGAGAGAGGAGGTTAGGCACAGGTTTGTCTACACATTATTTCGGGTTCACGAGGCGCCTGGAGATACGGGAATGACACATCCAGAAATGCAGGTGTTCTGATCTGCCCGATGAGTCAGAAGCAGCAGAACGAATCGTATTCACTCTCGCCTTTTGGTCCTCCCTTCACAGACATTAGTTGCGGCTTCTTCCTAACGCTTTCTCTGACTCACTCTAGAAAAAGAAAAACCATGTTCATGTTGGGTGGAAAAGGGCGGGGGGGAGTGGGGGGTGGAAGGTGAAGCTGAATCCCGCACCACTTTTACTCTACCTCTTTCTGCTGGAGTCCGAGGCTCTGGAAAGCAAGGCTTCTGCTTTGCTAGGTGTGTTTATTTATTTTTTTCTAAACCTTTCCTCTTGGTTAGGCTTGAGTCACCCCAAAATCTTTCAGAGTCTTAGAAAAAGAAAAAAAATCACGTTTCCAGTAATTATTCACAGCTTAGCCCCCATCATAGTTCAAGATTTTCCTCTCAGTGTTCTCTATTCACAAAGTCCAGCATCGGAGTGCATAGCTAATTGTGCAGTCTGTTGTGGAGGATTTTTTAAAAATTCCCCCTTTGCTGTCACGGGTGGTCTCTTTCAATCTGGTGCCTGTCAGGATCACCCCAAAGCCTGAGAAAGACGTGAGCATTTCAAACCAAATAAATCCATCCCCGCAAGCAAAGAGGCAGAGGAAATGAAAGGTGAAAATTTCAATTCAACAGTTGGAGTAGTCTCCCTAGTCGCCTTCCGCCGCTGCCGCATCCGCCGGGCTTGCAGTCCCGGTTCTCTCCCCAGCTTCTCTTGCTGACTGACTCTATTCACCTCACGCTGCCGCTTAAACATTGATATTGATTCCTTGCCAACCAATCCGCGTGAGGAGCAAGGCCCTTCCTCCTCGGCCCACGCCCAATAGGAGGTGGAGAAGAGGCTGGCGGGGGCGGGGCTAGGAGCCCCAGCGCTTTACAGTCATTGATTAGATCGGTTAGATGGGAAACTAAAGTGCCTAACCAAGCCAGCGCTACGCCTCGCTGGCGGCGCCCAGGGCCTCGCTATCGGGTGTCTCGGGTCTTTATCTGCTGGGAGAAGCTCCTGCACTGTCTTCCTCAGGAACAGAGAATTAAAAAACAAACAAACAAAAAAAGTTTAAGAGCAATTTAATTTGTTTTTTGGCCCTATATACATGGGAATGAGAATCTGCATGATTGCAGAATAAGGTAACTGCGCTCTTCCTAATGGATTTCTGTACACACACATACACACACATACTCACACGCCGCCGTCATCATTCACCATCCATATCAAGGGAGGTCCAGATTTTGACTACGCTTGGATGCATCTGAATGAGGTGCGGGCGTGTGTGTGTGTGTGTGTGCGTGTGTGTGTGTGTTTGTGTGTGTGTGTGTGTGTGTGTACGCGTTCTGTCGGGTTTGATGACATTTCAATAAGTCTATGTGAATTCTAGGGTGATCTTGATCCCGCTGCTGTCCGCATTGGAGCAAACAAGCCGAGAGCAACAGCAATCAATATGTAACTTTCTTCGTCCTCAGTAAAAATCAGCAGTCCCCAGGCACTCAAGCAAGGAAAGTAACTTGATTATGAAAAGGTTTCAGAAGAAAAACAGATGGACATTGAAAGAGAAGCCATGTCTCCTTACAATAAAATAACCTCACTTCTTGTAAGAAGAAAGGCTCATAGTTAATTCGAGCTTTTGCACAGTGTTACAACTAAAATTGACTAAATAATTCTTATATTGTTCCCTTTTGATTTTCTGCCCTTCCCTTCGCAGTGTAGGTTCAAAGTAATGGGTAGCACTCTTTCACATACTATTTTAATGTTTTGTCTGCCTCTGTGCCTGTTCCATATGTAATTTGAATTATAGTTTAGAAGGAATAGCCACTGACAACCACGTTTGCCAAAACTCCTATGCATGAAAGCTGAACTGTAAAACACGAAGGCAGACCAGTAATCTGTTAGGATTTCACATCCCTGTTTTTAAAAATAACACCACACACACAAAGGCAAGCGCGTGCTAGTGTGCGCGCGCGCACACACACACACACACACACACACCAGCTCGAATTCTTCCCCATCAACTTCAGAAATTTCAAAGATTCTTTTTTCCAAAATTATTACCACAATCAACAAGCGAAGACTGGTTTGCTCACAATCCAGCTGCTCTGGGAAAGAGTTAAGACAAAAAAGAAAATTGAAGCATTGAAATAGAAAAGGTGAGTGTTTTGATTGCTAGAGTATTGATTGCAATTCATAAATACTGAAGTTAAGTTGCCATTTATAAATTGTGAATGACTACCATACAAATCTGAAACATGAATCATTCAGGATTCACAGAAAATCAAATCCAGACCAATTACAAGAAAGTTCTGAAGATTGTTGTTGGGATAATAGCTTAAAGATTCAGGTTAAAAAGCTATTTATTTCCCAGAGGGTTCAATAAGATAACCTATAGTCTGAATTTGCTGTCTGGTCAGTATCCAAATTTACCACTCCTTAAAAAGGGTAATATTTTAAAAGTTTGGAGTTCTTTGAAGACAGACCTTCAAATCCTAAAATGTCTTTGTTTTTTTCTAAATAAATACATAGTCATGCATATACCGTTGTTAAGTAGGGAATCTAGAAATTTGTATAAATATAGGCTGCTTTGCTGAATGAGTGCTTAACTATGCTGGCTTGTAAAAATACAGCTTTGTATTTCACTCTGGGGTTAGAAGCTTTATTCCAACACATGTACCATGGAAGCTGAGGTTCTGAGTCTCTAAAAGTATCAGCTAACTCAAAGAGTAATGATTACACATTCATTTATTATTCATTACTTTTAATATGACAAATGTAAAGCTTTCTTGCATTACACATTAATTCAAGAAAAGTCATAAAATATTCTCACTTCAGGTTTACTTTAAAGCCAAAACAAGAGAACAGTGTTACAGTTTATTGAATAGTCTTAATTAGATATATTTTCTGTGCAATAGAGGGAAGATTAGAAACCCAATGTCTAAGAAAAAATACAGTGACATGAAAATACATCCTTACAAAGTTGCTCAAAACCCCTCCAGAGTAATTATGTCACATCTCCCCCTAGTGTACGGAAAGAAAGCTACCACCCTTATGATGAATACCACAGGGCATCTGCCAAAGAACAGTAAAAGAAAAATACAGAAAATATCTTTCTCACATTTTATGAAACTTATAGTACTGAATTTTGTTTTCTAATACCAACAAATCCTCAAGGAATTTACTTTATCATTATGATGTACCTTTATCTTATTTTTAAAGGAAATTGAATAACTGATACCTCACTTCCAGTTTGTGGCTTGCTTTTAACCAGATGGGATCGTCACAATGTCTCTTGACCTCTAAACCCTTTTTTTTTTTTTTTGGTACTGGGGATTGAACTCGGGTCCTTGCGCTTGCGAGACAGGCGCCGGAACCACTGAGCTAAATCCCTGGCCCTCGACCTCTAAATTCTACCATTTTGCCTAAATTGTTTTTATGTTCATAATATAATTATTCAATATTATCATTTTAACTACTCTGAAAATATTGAACTCAATTTAAAAAAAGACAGAGGATATAAATACAGTTAAGCAATTAAAATCCTATTGATTTTTCTATTATAGGAGGGTATAGACATGACATTAAGTTAGGAAAACCAGTAGAATGCAGTGTTGTACATGACTGACGATATCTGCACTCTCATTTTTGTTGAGAAAATCTGATAATCATTATTTATAATTACAAATAATAGAGTCAAACTTAAACTAAAATTTTACTATTCATTTTAAATTAGACTATTCATAAACTGAATATCTACAGATCTTGTATGATTATTCCCTATGCATGCACAGTCATTGAGAGAAAGGATTTGAAGATATAATATCTATCTAATTAATAAAATATGCTAGTTTAGATGAGTCAGAAAGGTAAATTGATCCTTATGTTGGAATGACTTCAAATAAATTGTTAAAGTCATTTTTTTACAGACCGTGAATAATACTGCCATATCACTCTACTAACTAGATTAATGACATTATCATTAAGGAATAATTTTGAAAATACTATTTTATGGAAGTTTAAATAATTGAATGCATTTAATTTCATCTCAGAGATGTTCTTTGAAATACATATTTACTAGCTGTAGTTGTAGTCCTGAGATTTTATGAATGTAGCCAAAATGGCAGCAGTTATAACATTCTTCCATAACTTGTCCTGTCTTGTATAATCTTGGAAGTTCAAAAAAATACAGTTCTTAATAGGGATTTGTAATGCTAATATTTTTAACACAACCACTATATAAATGAACAATGCTTTCTCCATATTTCCTTCAATATCACCTTTATCGTCATCTTGATACATGGTTTCATATAACATTGTTAACTGAAAATGTTTACAATAAGTTTAATAGATAAACATTTAAAAATGTTGCAGTGTTCAAATCACATTTAAATTCTCAAATGAATAATAGTACTGCATTCACAGATAGTTCCTTAAATTCACACTGTCTTTTAGAATATTAATGACTCACTTCTAATACAAAGTCATTGACACTTGCTATTTTTTAATCTGAGCTTTGCCTTTTAACAAATGAAAAATTTATAATACTAATAGGAAAATTGTTAAAACTTTTGTTAATAAATGTGAATTAAAATAAAAAGACAAATGAACTAAAATTTTTAAACTTCAGGAGACATGGTTCCTAATTTAAAAAATTTTGGTAACTCAATCTCTCTTGAAATCTAAAAAGTATAATATTTCTATACAATTTTAATATTTAAAATTAAATATTAAACTTTTGAATTTGTATTAAATTTTGGCTTTTTCAGTTAGAAAATATTTTAAGATAGGCAGTAATATATTGTAATTTTCTTCTTATTATGTATATTTTGATGTTGTTACAATATGATGTATTCAGATATCTGTTCCTTCTTCCCTTGCTAATGTGTTGCCAGTGAACAAAGTTACATGATAAATATAACAATGATATGCAAGTTATATCTAGTAGGAATTAATTTGTAACTTTCACAATAAATGAACTGAATTTACAACTGGTATCTGTATATTTTCTATATATTTCTAAGTTTGTGAGTCAGAAAGAAATAATAAATTAGTACATATGATCTACTCTTGTACAGTGAAATATATTTCAGGACAAATATTGTGACGTATAGAGACAAATTTCAAACTTAACTTAATATTTTTAAATTGCAGTTTTACAATGAAAGGCTATTCAGAATTTAAAATAAAATGTGCTTATGTATATGTAGACCATGGAGTAAAAGGAATTGTCAAGAAGAAAAAAAATGTTAACACTACATCACATGTGTTTTAAAAGGGAGAACTAGAATACAGTGCGTAAAATGTAACTGTGAAAACCTTTTCTTGATCTTAATAAATTGCAGATGGCATAGTTATAGCCTCCCCTCATTTGCCATCCAGAAATAAAAGGGTTCAGTTAATTATACCTACTCAACTCTCCTGCCCCATTTGAAGTTGCATGCTGGCTCCCCCTTGTGGTCACTCTGACAGCACAGACATTCAGGTACAGTGGGAAATTTACTGCATAGTAGGAAAAATGTTTGCTTAATGTTTGTTCTCTACCTTTTTAAACAAATGAAAAGCTTATGAATGAAATAGTTAATTTATAGGTATGACTTCTTGGTCGCTAAAATACAATAGCTGAAGCTGAGAGCAAAGATAGTATGATTTCATGTACATTTCAGCAATTTCATTTTTTTAAAAATAGTTAAGCATGTTAGGACAGTGCTAAAGCGAGGATACAAGCCCGTGGAGGGGACCCGGAAAATCTGATTCAGTAGGT